ATAAATTATAAATAATATCTACATGTTTGCACTTTTGCCAATAACACTGCTGGGATTTTAAATATAGAAAATGGCACATTGAGCTATCATACAACATGTTCATTTAAAGCATATCATTCATTGTATATTCACAGAAATGTGTAACCATCACAATAATTTTAGAAAATTTTTTCACCTTAAAAATAAAAACCTGTCCTCATTAATAATCATTTACTTCCTCCAATGATGTCCTTCTCCCACTGTCAATGTTGGCAGTGATTTATCTGTTTTCTGTCTCTGTTGCTTTGTCCTTTCTATACAGTTCATATTAATGAAATCATGTGTATATTCTATTGTCCTTAGCTTCTTTTTCCTTTTTTTATGTCTTTTTTTTTAAGATTTACTTATTCTTTTTATATTTTTTAATTACATTGTATTATGTGACACAGTTCTATATAGGCACTGCGATTCCCCCCTCCCCTCTCTCAACCCTCCCCCCATGGTGGGCTCCTCCCCCCGTTGTGCAACCACAGTTCAGGTTTAGTTGAGATTCCTTCATTGCAAGCATAGACCAAGCATAGAGTCCAGCATCTCATTGTCTGGTCAAGTTCAGTGGCTTCTTGGGGAAACCCTCCCCGGTCTGAAGGCAGAGCCAACAGAGTAGAATTCCAGTCAATTAAAAGCCCCAACATAACATCAGCAACAATATATAATGTTAAGGGATAAATTGACAAAGTATTGAGCAATCAATTTGTCAAAATCGGATGCATGGTCTTAACAACTTCCTGTGACTATTTCAATGACATTTCAACAACTGAGGTGCGAAACAGTTTTAGGAAGGGTGTGCATAGAAAGCCTCCATACCTTGGTGAGGAGTATTTAATCCCTGTGTCCTACCTAGTAAGGTGTGTGTGAGTCCATGCTGACCAAGCCTTCCTTGTTGTTCTCTGCCTATCCATTCCAATTTGCGAGTGTGTGTGTGTGTGTGTGTTTGTGTGTTGGGGGGGGGGGGCTCTGGTCATTGCAGAGAGGGTGGGGACCCGAAGTTGGAGCCAAGTAAGAACCAGAGATAGCTCCTCTCCCTAGTCCTGAAGGGAGTTTACTGTTCTTCTGTTTCTGAAGACCACTCGGGTTTCCTGGTTGTTGTTCCAATGGCCTTGGATCCTATGATGAAGGGTTCAGATTCTTCCATCCCGTGTGGTAGGTCCAAAGGGGGGGTGTCCTCTGAGTTCTCGGCCTCCAAAGGCATTCCAGTCCCCCTCTTTGGCAGTTGGAATGTGGTCCTTGGCACCGGTACTGATAGCCCTTGGTGGGGATCCGGAAGATTCCAGGCTTGGGACACAAGCCCCCTCCTGTCCACCTGCTTCACTCTGTGGTCCCCCATTGTGCACATGACCTCCTGTTAATAGGTTTTCAGGGTCGCTCTTGATTCCCTCTATATGTCTTTGTAATTTTACTGTTGTCTAATCATGTCTTGAATATATTGTCTACAAATTACCTGTTATTTGCCTGAGAGGTTACACTACACAACTTCCTCACTCGTTCACAGGAGATGGAAGCTTTCTTTGCTCTCCCACCCAATTTCTGAGTAGTAAAAGGTTTTGAAAATATATTTGGTTATACAATTTTAAAAACACTTGGGTTGAGACCATATTAGGTAGAGGTTCATCGGGGGAGATTTATATCATTGGGAATCTTTAGGGTTGATTCATGTACCCAAAGCCCTGAGGGTTCATCATGGAGCTTTCTAAGCAGCATAGAACCCAAATCCCAGAGCTCCCTGGCCGGGCAGCCAGCAGGCAGAGCCTCCCGCCAAATGGCACTCCGGCAAGCCCAATAACCGGCTCTGGACGCGCATGGTAGTGGCCGCGTGCGATCCATGCATGGGACACTTGTCCCAGGGCCTTCCAGCCACCATACGGTAGCAGGAAGACTACTTCCCCAGGTTCAAGCTCCATCCCTTCCCGGTCCTGCCCCCAGCTCAAGCCAGCAGGCGAGCAGTGAAGCAGTTGGACCCGCTTCACAGAGCTCCGTGGGTAGTCCATGGCGCTCCGGCAAGCCCGATACTGGCTCCGGACGCATGCATGGTAGCGGCTGCGTGCGATTCAGGCATGAGACGCCACTTGTCCCGAGGCCTTCCAGCCCCCATGCATCCTTAGCTTCTTTTTCCAGCATATTTTTCAGGTTTAACCACTATTGTAGCACACATCTATATTTCCTTTTTGTTTTCAGATAGTCCATTATCTGAATATATCACATTTTATTTGACCATCCACCAGTTGAGCCTGTTTCATTTATTCTACTTTTTGCCATTGTGAAAAATGTGGGTATGAACATTCACAACTCAGTTTTGGGGTACCTACATGTTTTCATTACTCATAGATATATAGCCAGGAATGTGATTATTGAGTCAAATGATAACTGTAAGTTTAATCTTTTAAAGAACTATCAGCTGAGTTTTCAAAGCAACCCATACTATTTTATATTCCCAGTGTATTAAGGTTCCATTTCTCTACATCCTTGCAAACATTTGCTGCTATTTTTTTTTATTGTAGCCACCCTAGTGTAAATTGGTGTCTCTTTGTGGTTTTGATTTTCATTTTTCATTTCCTGATGGCTAACGACATTAAGCAGAATTTTCATATGGTCATTGGTCATTTGTCTAGAGAACCATCTGTTCAGATCCTTAACCATTTTTTGAATTGAGTTTATTTATTACTATAATAGTTATATATCTTAGGTATGTTTATTTTTAAAATTATTTATTTTTAAAGCAGACTGGTAGACTGATTTTCCATCTGCTGGTTCATTCCTCAAAAGCCCTCAAGCCAGGTCTGAGCATATTGAAACCAGGAGCTAGAAACTCAAAGTAAATCTCCCTCGCAGCAGCCGAGACCCAACTTTTTAAATCATCACCTGCTCCCTTCCAGGGTGCATGTCAGCCACAAAGGGAAAGAAGGTGCAGACCCAGGGCTCAAAGCTGGTCACTCTGATAAACCGTACAGGTGTCTAAATGATGTCTTAGCTGCCGTACCAAACACCTGCTCCTGGATGTTATTTCTTTTATCAGATGTACAATTTGCAAGTATTTTCTCTGTTTCTTTATCTTTTCACTCTATTGAGGATAGACTTTGAAATACAAAAATTATAAATTTTGATGAAATCTCTAAATTTTTTAGTCACTTTTTTTGTAGTGAGGGTTGTGTTAGGGCAGGTATTTCGATGCTACTCAGGATGCCTGCATCCATGTCAGAGTGCCCGTGTTTGAGCCCTGGCTCTGCTTCCAGTTCCAGCATCCCGCTAATGTTCACCCTCAGAGTAACAAATGATGGCTCAAGTCCTGGAGTTCCCACCATCCATGTGGGATACCCAGATGAAGTCTCAGGTGTTTGACTTCAGCGTGATCCACATTCTTTTGTTACAGTCACTTGAGGAGTGATCTCTCCCTATTACCCCCTCTCTCTGCCTTCAGATGAGCAACTAAGTAAATTTTAAAGAAAGAGTGTTTTGCCTAAACCAAGATCAGGGAGATTTACTTTTGTATTTCGTCCTGAGTTTTGTAGTGTTAACACTTACATATAAGTGTGTATTTCACTTTGAGTTAATTGTGTGTGATATAGTGAAGGGGTTCAGATTTATTCTTTTGTACTTGTATATCTGGTTGTTGACTAGTACAGAATTTACCATGTGGTAATAATTTTTTGCAATTTGAAGAGGATAATTTTATGATCTTGCTATAATGTGATCATTTGTCATTCTTGATCTAATAAAAAGTGAATACTTACTAGTTGGGTATAACGTTTTATTGCTTATGTAAAGTTGAAAAATTAGATGTTTATGTTGTGATGTTGTGAGAAGTTTTTTTTTTTTTTCGAAGATCTGTTTATTGAAAGGCAAAGAGGGGAAAGGAGAGAGACACTCTTCTGTCTACTGGCTCACCTCCAAATCTCTCCAACAGCAGGGATTGAGACAGGTAGAAGCTAGGAGCCTGGAACTCCATCCATTTCTCCTACATGGGTAGCAGAAATCCAAGCACTTGGACAATGATTTTCTGCCTTTCAGGAGCATTGGCAGGAAGCTGTATCAGAAGCATGGATTGTCTGGGACTCCAGGCATCTGTGATTATGTACACGGGTATCCCAAGTGATGACTTGACCCACTGAGCCTGCCCTGTCATCTATACTCGCAGGTTTTGTTCTGTTTTTGTGTTTGTGTTTTGTTTTGTTTTTGTAATCTAGCTTGTAATATATTAGGAGCTGCTATCATGGTGATAGATTTGTTGGTTTATTCCTTTCTAGTTCTGTTAACATTTTTTTTTTGTTCAGTTTTACCTTTGTATGGAAAACTTTCCTACATTCATAAAAGCACAGAAAATGATAGAATCAGCCCTTATTATTTAACCTGAGTAAACAAAATCCCATGTTTACTGCATGCTTATTGCAGTATCTGCAATTTTTTTTTTTTTACACTTAGGCCTAGCAGGAAACATTTTTCTTTTGGCTGACACTTACATACTATGAATAGTATTTTCCTGTAAAATGTTTCAGTAGGAAATTCTCAGAGTTTTTGTTTGAAAATGTTTTTATTATGTGTAATTTCTGGAGAATTGGTACAGAACCCAAGTTGACTTTTTTTTCTGGATGTTTTGAAGATAATATTGCAGTATGATTCTGCTGTTGAGAAATAAACTAGGAGTGTTTATTTTTGTTTCTTTGTGATCTCATTCTCTGAAGACATTTTCTTTGGAATTCTGTATTTTTACTATCATTTTTTAAAAGTATGTCATAATTAATTGAGTGATAGTAATTTCAATTTGTTAGATTTAAATGTCTTAACATTCTGCCTGTAAATAGTGGTTGGAATTCTACAAATAGTTAAATACACACAGAAATTTTTACTATTAAAAAGACCCTATGGCAAATTTTTTTGGAGACCACAAAGTAATCTTTTTGCATTATGACTTCTTTCTCAAGATCCTGTGTGTATGTAAGTAAACAGAGTACACTTTTATCTTTCCACAGCACTGTTGGAAATAATTATGAAAAATGGGAGCACAGCTGGAAATAGCCCTCATTGCCGAAAGCCATCAGGTGGTGGTGATCAGAGCAAGCCTAACTGCACGAAGGACAGCACGCCTGGCAGTGGTGAGAGCAGCAAAGGCTACACCAAAGACCAAGTAGACGGAGTCCTCAGGTAGGGAGGCAATACATTGGTATTTCAAGTATAATTGACATGAGTATTATGAATATTGATTAAAAAACAAGTTTGAAGCATTATTTAGTAGGAAAATAAACATGTAGGAATTAAACTCTGGAGTGTATCTTATGCTTTGTATTATGTGTAAAATCATTCTATGGAAGAATGCATCTTTTAAATTCTGAGTCACAAAACTTCTTTCCAAAGGAAAAATTATTTCATTCTTCTGATGCAGTTCATTTTAAGTAATGGTATTGGAAAAATTATGTTGTTTTATAAATATGAAAATCGGCAAAGTGTATGAGAAATTTCAGTGTAAAATGAACAGCATTTTTACTGTTAAACATATCTTAATTAGGACAAATTTTTTTCTATTTGTGTTCTGTTTTCAAGGTTATTTTTGTATATGTAAACAGCAGAATTTCCTTTAATGTTTTTCTTAGTCTGGTTATTCTCTTTCTGAGTTATATTGGTTCCTAATAGACTTGTACTTAAGACAGAAGAATTAGGTGGTGTTGAAAAATGATGAATTGGGTTGTAGGGATCTGGCTTCCCTGATTTATAGATAGTGAAAGTTTATCTGGAAATCAAATGATGCTTTATGAAGCCATGAAACACACAGAAAAAAAACTGTTGTTTCCTGATAAGGAAGATGTATCAATGTTGCCCTCTTTAGATGAAACTAAAATTTAAAGATTAAACACTGACCTGTAGTTAATCAGGCAATTCCTATGGAGAGTAATTTTACAGCATAGCCAGCAAAGTCAAGAAGAGTGGAGTGAGTGTTACATTGCAGCTGTGAAGCCTTCTGACACATTCGTCCTCTGTGGGAGGGCTGCTTCTAGTCCCTGCTGCCCCAGGCTTCCAACACAGTTTCAAGCTGTAGCACCAGAGATGGCTTGGGTTCCTGCCACCCAGCCAGGAAATCGGGAGGTAATTCTTGATTCCCAACTTCGGCCTGGCCCAGTTGCGTTTGGTGAGTGAATCAGTAGATAAACAATCTCTCTCTACCTTGTAAATAAATTGATTTCTTAAAAGAATAAGGAAAGTTTAGGTATTTTTTCCTTCACTATTTTATTTATCATTTAATCTTTTTGTTCTTTTTTTCCAGTCATTTTTACTTAGAATCATTGGTAATTGAAGTATGTTTTGAGATGTTTTACTTCTTAAAGAAAGTGATTTCCTGCCACATTTTAATTTTTAAATCAGATATCAATATATTTATGTTTTCCCCATGTATGCAAACGCTAAAGCTTGATTCTGATACTTTACCTGAGTTTGCTGACAATAAGAAAAAAAGATTCCCTGATCATGGTGAAGACATAATTAAAAAGGTATTTGAATTACATGAATGGTAGTAAGCATTTTGAGAGTATAAGTAATGTTGCCATCCACTTTTGTAGCTGTAATACCATGTCAGATGTGGCTGAATACATGAGATAAGTAAGACTTGCAACTGAGTTTGTTTCACAAAAGGAGGTGATCAATGTGTTAAAACACATTCCTGTTTGGGAAATGCATTCTCAATGAATGAAGTAAAGCTGCTTGTATTTTTTTTTTCTTTTCTTCAGAAAATCGTTGGAATCATCTATATATTTGAAAGTTTCATGAGAAAACTACAATTATAAGTTTTTAGAGAATAGGAATCTCCTTTGTCTGATGTTATTTCTTTAAAAAAAAAAAAGAAAAAGAAAAAAAGCCCTTTTCTTCATTTCCTCTATCCTAAGTACAAAAGACTAGTCCAATGTATTTTGATAGAAATAAGGAAAGAATAGCAGTTATACATCTTTGTTTTAGTATTGGGGAGAGAGAGAGTGTGTGTGTTTCAGAGCCTGAATGACCTGCCTTTGGGCAGGGGGACATTTTGAGAATAGAGCAGTGAAAGGTGATGTTGAGCACAGATAGTATTTTATATGCTGAGTTGGACACTTAGAAACCTAAAATATTGAAGAAATTTCTGTCTTTGGGTTTGTATTTTTTTCTGTGAAGCTGGAGATGGAGATGATTCTCAGAATTTCGAAGAATAGGAATGAAGTTGAAAGCTCGAGGAGAGTAGTGAAAGTACATGATATTTACAGAGGTGGAAACAAAGGGAATGAAAAATGACTGATTCAGCATTGAGAGCCAAGCCACAGATGAGCAACTGTTACCTTAGATACTTGCAGTGGAGATTAGGTCTGTGGTCAATAATTTTATTATACACTTTTTACTACATAAATGTGATTTGTTTTCCTTTGGGAACTAAATAAGTTCGGAACATTCTTTAGGAAGATCCTTTGTTATTCAAAATATATAGGTCAATACTTTATGTAAGAGTTACGCAGCTGAACCGTGCAACACTTGTTTATTATGTTGGCTTTCATAACCCTTGGTGTAGTGAGGGAATAGATCATCAGCAAACACCTATATGCTGTATGCCTTTGTATTTTTGTTTTATCTGTACACAGGGGATTTTGCTTGAAGAAAGCCGTATTGTTGGTTAGCACAGTTATGCAAACAAGTTGCTCAGTTACAATTTGGCTCAATGGGGAGAAGCCATGCAATAATGTCGTATCCATTGCATAAGTAAGAGCTAACTTACAGTGAGAATAACAGAGAAGTATATAACTATGCAAATTAATATTTTGTGTAACTAAGTACACTTTGAGGTAAAATATGTGAAAAAAATAGGAGGTTGTCAGAGATCTAGTTGAAGAAGTTTTAATAAAACTATTGAAAAAAGCACCAGTTTATGTTTAAAAATATACACAATTGGCATGAGATCTCTAACATAGCTATCATATTTATCAATTAGAAATACTACTATGAAAATGTTAAGTTATTTGAATTACAGAAATTTTAATGTAAGAGATGATTTATGCTACAATTCCATAAATGAAATTTTTTTTGTTCTAAGCAATCATGTCTTGAAAGTCAATATTCCTTCAAGTATCAGTTAAATCTGATGTTTTTAAAAATTCAGCTACAGCACATGAAAAGAGAATTGAAAGAGGACCGTTCTCTTCAGCCCACTGTGTTTTCATGCAAATGAATAGATGTCAGAGCAGACAGACTTTCCATTGCTGAGCTCTAGCTGTCTTGTTGGCCTTGCTGCACACTCAAAGCTTACAAGATGGGTAATGCATTACCCATCTTAAAATTCCTTCAGTGAGACTGGAGGTTTGATTCTTTCAGAAAGGAGCAGATTGTGAGCATTTTGATGAATGCACGTAGCTGATAAAAAGGAGCCTCAGGAGCAGCATATGTATATTTTAAAAGATACATATGTGGTAAACCTCATTCAGCTTTGAAAATGTTCATGAATGAATAGTTCTGGAGCATTACATGAAATCCATAGTCTTCAGCCTATGTAATGATCTGATGGCAGTTTATAGTTCTCTGTTGGCTTTTCAAGAATTTCTCCTTTGATATAGTGCAGGAAAGATACAGTGAAACCGGGTACAATTAAGAATTTAACTGTCTGCCTTCTTCCCTGTGTGACTTTTAAAAATATACATTTTTATTTTTACTTAAAAGTCGGAGTTACAGAAATAGAGGGAGAGACAGAGAAAGACACAGATTTTCCATCTGCTGATTCACTTTCCAAATAGTTACAACATGCAGATTAAGCTGATCCAAAGCTGGGAGCCAGGAGGCTCTTCCGAGTCTCCTATGTGGGTCTAGGGTCCCAAGGACTTGGGCCATCCTCCTCTGCTTTCCCAGGCCATAAACAGACCGCTAGATAGGAAGTGCAGCAGACAGGGCAAGAACCAGCACCCATATGGTATGATAGCACCATGGAACAGGATTAATCTGTTGAGCCACCATGCCCACCTCTGTAACATTTCTTAATATTCTTTTAATGTTTATTTGAAAAGAATGAGAAGCAGAGGGAGAGAGAAAAATAGAGACAAGAGAATCTTCCATGCACTAATTCACCCCCCAGATACCCACAGCAGCCAGGGCTGTGCTGGGCTAGGCCAAAGCCAGAAACCATAAACTCCACCTGAGTCCATCGGTGTTTGGACTACCATTATATGTTTCCCAGAATGCAGTAACAGGAAGCTGAATCAGAAGTGGAGTTCCCAGGACGTGAATCAGCACTCCAGTTTTGGATGTGGGGACTCCCTGGGATGCAGGAATCCAAAACTTTGGCTTAAAACACTGTGCCAAAATGCCCACTGCAACAATTTTTAATTTATAACTCATATTTAGAGCCTTGTACATTTTACCCTACATTTCCTCGTTCTCTAGCATTGCTCTCTTGGGTCACCTTTTTCTTTTGCTCAACCTTTTGTACTTAGAAATATTGACAAAACAATGTTAGAAAATTAATTCGGGATGTAATCCAACATCAGATGCATTCACACCTAACAGTAGTAACTTTAAGATGATCGTTTATTTTGTCACAGCCTTAATTTCCTCCTATTTTCAGGTATGGCTATTCAATTCTTAGCTCCATTCTTTGCCTCCCATTCTGTTTCATTTCTATTTAGTTCTCTTCTATTTCATATTGAGCTTCAGTGCCAAATGCATTTCATTATAACATTCATCACCTTTTACCTTTTAAAGTTCTTGCAATTTCCACCCTCTAGTTGAAAACATTATCTACCCATTTCTTCTTTTATCCATTGATCCTTTTTTTCTTCTGTGTACCCCAGAAAGCTCCATCTGAATGTTCCACATGCATGGCGGGGCTCAGGCTCTTAAGTCATCATTTTGTACCTCTCTTTCATTAGCAGAAAGTTGGATCAGCAACAGAGAAGCCGGAACTCAATGTGGCGCCTCCATATGTAATGCCAGTTTCTCAAGTGGTGGCGTAACCCACTAAGCCACAATACCTGCCCCTTATTATGGAGTTTTTGGTTGTTTTTAAGATTATTTACGTACTTGAAAGGCAAAGTTACAGAAGAAGAGAGAGAAGGAGGGAAGTGAGAATGTATTTGTTTATGTGTGAGAAAGAACCAGAGAATCTTCCATCTGCTGTTAGTTCACCCTCCAAATGGTCACAGTTTCTGCTGGTGCTGAGCAAAGTCAAAGCCAGGAACCAGGAGTTTGATAGATCTTCCATGTGGGTGGCAGGGCACAAGTATTTAGGCTGTATTCCGCTGCTCTTCCAGGTACATTAGCAGGGAGCTGGATTGCAAGTGAAGCAGCCAGGACTCAAACATGTTCTCTTATGGAATGCTATTGTCATGAGCCACAGCTTAACTTGCTGTGCCATAATACCAGCTGCTCTGATAGGGAATTTAAAAAAAATATTTTGTATTTATTCATTTTATTTGAGAGGCAGAACAGAGAACTGTCTCTTATTTGATGGTTCACTTCCCAAATGCCCAGAAGTTGGGGATCCAAGCACTTGAATTGTCACCTGTGCCCCCGGGTGCACATTACCAAGAAAGCTAGAATAAGGAGCAGAGGCAAGATGTAAGCCCAAACACTCCAGTGTGGCCTGCAGGTGCCTTAACTGCTGTACCAGATGTCTTCCCCTGAACTAGAAGGTTTTGAATGCTTTTTATTTTTAAATCACTGAAGCATCTGAAATAGCATCTCAGAGAAAGTAGGTACTCAGTAAATTGTTCTTTTTTTTTTTTTTGCCATGTATTTTATTTTATTTGTTGTTGTTGTTGTTGTTGTTTGGTCTTTCCTTTTTTTTTTAATTACATTGCATTATGTGACACAGTTGTAGGTACTGGGAATGCCAGTACCTACAGTAAATTGTTCTGAAAGAAATAAATACTCGTTCCTACATGGCATTTGACTGTGTAATTTTAGGCAATTTATTTAGTTACTTGAAACTTAAGTTCCTTCACTACTTAAGTAGGAATCATATCTACCTAATGCAGTAAATGAGAGACCTTGTGTCAAATGATCAGCCTAATAATTCTGTGCTTCTGTATGTAAAATCAGTAAACCTGATGCTTAATATTTATTTTCATTTTATTTGAAAGGCAGCAAGACTGCTTTAAGTCATTTTACCCGTTGCATGTCTCTATCATCAAGTCACCTGTGGCCAGAAAAGTTCTGAAATCAGAAGTATCCTAGAATATTGTTAATGTACCCATGGCTTTTGTGAAGCCAGATTACCAGGTGATGCAAGAATGCTGACATTGAAAAGTACTTAACATTCTCTGCTCCATTCTTTTCCATTTCCATCACTCATTTCCAAAGAATATTCTTTCCCATTCCTAATATATTTTAACGCTTCAATCTGTTTTAACTTTACAGTGTAAACTATGTCAGTTGCATTTTAAGAGTATATTCATAGAAGTGAAAATTCGGTATCAGACATTTTTTCAGTGCATGTCATTTTATTATGAGACTTTTATGTTTTCAGAGTTACACTTATGAATTTTCTTTAGCATAAATGGGCTGAATTAACTTACCTTGACATTTAAATCACAGGCTATGACAGATGTTTTGTATATACTAATGATACTTGCTTAGATGTACAGTATTCCAAAGTTCTTGGGTTGTCTTGCTTATCATTCTCAGCTATGGAAAACTTTTGAGCTTCAGAAATTTTTAATCCCACCTAAGAATAATATTAAATTATTGTTATTCTTTTCTATGAGTTATCGTCTGTGCATCATCCACAATTTTTACATGTCCAGGCTCTCCACTTCTTAGACTGGGAAGAGATTGGAGGGATCATCCATGGCCCCAAAATGGATCACACTAACCCTTAAAGGGATAAGCTGTCACTAGATTTTGAAAAAGCAGTCCCAGATAGGTTTTTTAAAATACCATTGTAATTAAAAACTAGAACATGATGTTATTCCTTGAAATTTATATTCTAACACATTCTCTTGTTCACAGCATAAACAAATGTAAAAATTACTATGAAGTACTTGGAGTTACAAAAGATGCTGGTGATGAAGATTTGAAAAAAGCCTACAGAAAACTTGCCTTGAAGTTTCATCCAGATAAAAACCATGCACCTGGAGCAACAGATGCTTTTAAAAGTAAAGTAAAATTGTTTAAAGCAGTTTTTTTTCCTAAACTTCTAGAATTCACTTTGTTTTAAAATACTAAATTTTGTTTTCAAAAACATGTATTGTTTTGATATTCAGAGTTACTGAGGAGGCGGGTCTCCATCCACTGATTCACTCCCCAGATAGCTGTAATGGCTGGAGCTAGGCCTGATTGAAAGCTCTTTCCAGCTCTCCCATGTGAATTGTAGGGGTTCAAACACTTGGGCCATCCTCCACTGCTTTCCCAGGCCACTAATATGCAGCTGGATTGGGAGTGGAGCAGTCAGAACATGTAGTGTGACTAATATGGGACGTTGGTGTTGTAGGTGGCAACTTTACTTGCTATACTAAATGCCAACTCCTAAACTGTGTTTTTGGACTAGTGAATTTAGATGTCAGCATAAATAAGAGTCAATCATAAGTCCTATTATAAGTTAAAATAATTTATTTAAACATTTTTGCTTTTGTAAAAATGTTTAAAAATTTTTTGAATGTGAGTTAAAATGTGTTTGTGATTTGCTTAGATGATTTCAATGTTCTGTATTATTGTAAAGAGTGTTAAGCTTCTTCTTTCTTCTGCTTTATTGATATCATGTCACCATTATTGGCTTATAACAATCCTAGGCGCATATACCTGTATTTCTGCATCAGTCTCAAGATGTGAGATATGTAATTGTCTCTCTAGGATGCCAACTAAACCCTCAAAAGTGGTTGTACATTGGTGTGATATGTTGTTGTGCTATGCACAACTAGAAACTTAATACTTACGTACGCACTGGGAGGTGATTGACCCCAAGAGATGAGACTCATGTTACTCAGTATATAAGAGGTTGTTTGTAAATCAGAATGCGAATTCAGTAGTTCCAAAGAGGATCGAAATATAGGGAGTTAATCTATGAGTACATTTTTTACTGAACGGAAATGCATAGAAAACCCAACTTGTAATCCATAGATGTTTGTTGAGCATAGGTGGTTAATTTGAAAGTATAAGCTGAAGTCATCATATAGAAATGATGAATTTCATTCCTTTGGCACTCAAAATCTTTTTATTGCCTTCTGAATTACCTTATTTTTAACCCATTGTGTTTTTGAAATATTAAACTATTTGTCTTCAAACAAAAACCATATATATGTATGTATATATATACACATATACACATATATATAAGCTAAAGTACAGATCCATTTTTATATAATTATTGAAACTTTTTTTTAATATTTATTTTTATTGGAAAGGCAGATATACAGAGAGGAGGAGAGACAGAGAGGATGATCTTCCATCTGCTGACTCATTCCCCAAGTGGCTGCAATGGCTGGAACTGAGCCGATCCAAAGCCAGGAGTCCAGAGACTCTTCCTGGTCTGCTGGTGCTGGGTCCCAAGGCTTTGGGCTGTCCTTGACTACTTTCCCAGGCCACAAACAGGGAACTAGATAGGAAACAGGGCTGCTGGATTAGTACCAATGCCCATATGGGATGCTAGGGGCATGCAAGGCAAGGACCTTAACCAGTATGCTACCATGCTGGGTCCCTGAAACTTTTTTTTTTAAACAGAAAATGGAAGCCATTTACTTTTCTATATTCTCAGGGAATAGAAAAATAAGAGATAATTGGTTTAAGGGATTACATTAGAAGGAGATGTTTTCATTTTGTGTTTTGCAAAGGTTTAAAAATAAATGATGTTCTTAAGAAGAATGGATATTTTGTCTTTCCAGTTAGGACTGTAAGTGTCCCCAAGCAGAGAATATTTCATTTACCTATTGAGTAACTTACACAACCTATTAAACACATTTTTTAAAAATATCCTAATGAAACGGATCCCCTTCTTTCTGACACTGATACCTACATTAGCTTTAAAGATATATAGGTATTTTGGAGACTATTTGAATAATACCAGTGCCTGTTTAAATACACATGAATATAGTAACAGTAAGGCATGAAGTAACTACATATTTGTTTGCTTGTTTAATAATAATGGAGTAGGTGCTATTGCTTTTATTAGGTGTTGTAGTTCAATCTTAGCAACTAGAATTTATCTCAGAGAACTTAAGCGTTAAAACTATTCTTTGGTCTACTTTTTATAGAGATATACAGTTGGAAAAGATGAGATATCCCAATTCTCCAAGAATTTGTGATTCATAAAGGGAATACAGGACTCATACAGGACATTTGCAGCATGTTATGCCAATCATTTGATGGGTGTCGTGTCTTATAGTTTTTTCCATTATTTGTTTGCTGGTTTAATCCCTTTAAAAATCTCACAAAGTTGTCAAGGGACCAGTATCCTTCTAATTTTACAATACGAAAATTGAAACTGTCAGAGATTAACTGATTTACCCAGGATTTCCCAGAAGACTGGCTATAATTTAAATCCCAAAACAGAGTACAAAAAAGTCAGAGAGATGAAATAGCACTACAATCAGGGTAATTGGGAATACCTTCAGACAGTTGGTGGGAATTAAGAATTTTCTCAAGAGATGAATACACTATAAAAAACAGGATGACAAAAACCTGAAAGTGGAAGTGAGGCAAGTTTTTTAAAAAATCAGTGAGGACTTCCACTTTCAGAAAGCTCGGATTGATACACTCTTCTCTGTTCTTCCTACCAAATAAATCTGAAAACTCTGAACATTGTATATAACAAATAAACATGGGAAGACTGAAAGATGGAGAGAAGATAGAAGTGAGTGGCTTAGTTTTGGTATTTTTGTTTTTTTGACTCATATATGCCAGATTGGGTGCTAGAAAAAAAGGCAACTGCAAAACCCCAGTAGGCAGAGCCAGAAAAACCCCCAAGAAAAGCCTGGTGTCTCTTGCCATGTGAGTGGGAAAGGAACAGCCTAGAAGTATGCAAAAGCAATAGCTGCTTTACTTATGCCCAGTAATTAGAAAAATTCTGTATCACCCCTACCCATACCAACCTAGGCTGAGTAGAGGGTGCAGACCGCCACCTTCTCCCTGCTGTAATGAGTTGTTCCAACCTCTCCTGTGGTTGTGACAGAGAAGAATGATTAGGGGACTTGGACTCTTCACTCTGCAAGGTTTCCTCTTATCTTGCTCCTCCTCCCACTCTTCCCTCATGTTAGTCGACATCAGGTGGGAGCCTGGGTGCTCCGACCAGCAGGGCCAGTAACGTAGTCTGGGGATGAAGCACCAACAGGAGTCCAGTGATTTTAGAAGTCTCTGCGCAGTCTCCCCTTATTGCTCCTTCACCTCTCCTTATATACTCTTCCCCCCTATATCCTCATTTAACAGGATATTGGATACAGATGAGTCCAACTAGTCTAGATGTTTTTAGCCACAAGCCCAGTTCCCGTTCCTGCTCAGCCCAACGAGTGCTAATCAACTCCTTAGCCCACAATACCTGGGCTCTGTTTTCTCCTGGTAGTAAAACTGTAGCCATTCTTTGACCCTGTGAACTGATGTCAAAACAAAGGGGGCATAGAAGAGGGTTGGGACTTAGACCACCATTCAGACACCACTATCTTCCTGGTGTCAATAAAGTTATGTTGGGGAACAGTTAGGAAACATCCTTTGATCTCACACTGGAAACCTGAGGAGGAGCTGGAAATCTAGCCTCACCCAGCAGTAATGGGAACCCTCCCTCTATCAGTGTCATCAAAGGCAGGAGGAGCTCTGAACCACTGCTCCCACCTAGGAGTGGCAAGGTGCTGCACTCTATAGTCAGCTGGAGGAAGACATGTTGAACACATGATCAAGTCCTCAAGATGTCAGAAAAGTTAGAAATGACGATAAGATTTATATCTTATTTTAAAGATACAGTTTTTTCAAAAAAAAATTTTAAAGATTTATTTAGTTTAAAGACAGAGTTACAGAGAAAGAAAGGGTAAGACACAAATTGATCTTCTTCCGTGTGCTGATTCACTCCCCAAACTGCTGCAATATCCAAATGCCAAGATCCAGGAAACTCATCCAAGTCTCACATGTGAGTAGCAGAAACTCAAGCGCTTGGACCATCTCTGCTCCTTTCCTGAACATGTTAACCAGGAGCTGGAACAAAAGTGGAGCAGCCAGGACTTGAGTTGGTACTCATACGAATTGCCAACATCATGGGTGGCAATTTGACCTCCTTTACCACAATGCCAGTCTCTATTTGTTTATTTTAAAGACAAACTGACAGAGAGATAATGAATGAGAGAGACGAGATCTTCCATGTACTGATGTCTTGTTCATAACTACAATGCCCAGGGTTTGACTGGGCCAGAGTTGGATGCCAGAAGCATCATCTGGATCTCGCATTTGGGTAATAGGAACCTAAGTTCTAAGGCTATCATCCCCTGGTTTTCAGATGCATTCGCAGGAAGCTGGATCACAAGCACATACAGCTAGGACTCAGAGTGAATGGATACTTGCATAAGGGTTACAGGAGTCCCAAGCACTGACTTAATCCTCTGCATCCTAGTTGTTCTCTGGAAGGATTTTACAGTGACCATCATGTAAATGTTTAAAGGAGCAATTACAGATATTTTTGAAACAAACCCAAAAGTACCAGTGAAGAAATGAAAGTCATAAAGAAGGTAATGGAAGTGTTGCAGCCCAAAAATTTTTAAAAAAACTGAAATAAAAATCTGGCAGTGAATGGAATACACTGAATATAAGACAGAGAAGAGACATGGTGAGGTAGAAAATGGATAGACTAAAGTAAACAAGCAAACACTGCAGCCTCAGAGACATGGGATTAGAACAAAAGGTCTGATATTTACTCATTGGATTTTTGGAAGGAGGAAAGAGACAGGAGAGAGCTGAAAAAGTACTAAAAAAACTAAAGATAGAAAGCCCTCAGCCCCCCATCCCCCCTTTTTGGGAAAAGACATTTAACTCACAGATTTGAGAAGCTGAGTGAACCCCTGGTAGATTTACAGAATCCATACCAACATGTGTCACAGTCAAACTTCAAGAAACAAAACAGGAAAACTAAATTGGGAAAGAGCGAAAGAAGAATGGCATTTGTGCCTATATTGGAAAAGCTGTT